CTGGATGAGCTTTAAGGTCCCTTCCAATCCAAACCATTTTATGATTCTATGAATCTTTCCCCATCCTTCTTATAAGCCCCCTTGAATTACTGAGTTATACTTAAAGGTTCTTCATCCCAAACACCTACAGGTGGAGGAATTACTTGATTCCCAGCTTTTTTGGTAGAAGAATAAGGTTATGCTGTATTTCTCTAGCGCTGAATCTTTTTGATTACAAATTAGAGACTCCAATAAAGTTCTAATTCCCATCCTGACAGGGGTTAGACCTCACCACTCACAGCTCTCATTATTTTCAAAGCCACTGGTGACCTCAAACTAAATTTCTGAGGTGCAACTAGTTGTTTGAGACTGAGCCACAGCTGGACTGCACACACCTAAATGGAAACAGTGGCCCCAGCCAGGTTTCCTCACTCACCTGGGTAACGTACACCATGTCTGCCATGAGAGCAAATCCTTCCAGCTTCAGCTGGGAGATGAAGGCCTGGAGAAGCACGTTGATCTGAGGAAGGAGAACAGAAAAGCTCTCAGCACCCTTTGCACCAGCACTTGATCCTGGTGGGCTTTGAAATGTAGTGATCAGCAGGGACCAGCTGTCCTCTGCCACTGGACACTGCGCTCAACCAGAGACAAGAAGCACCTGCAGCTCTTCGAGCATCTCTGACACAGTCCGAGATGTCCCACAGAGGGAAGAGAACAGGAATCCCCCCAAGAGTGGCATTAACCATGACAGCTCTCCCCCAAGGATCACTGCTCCCCTCAAGACAGGCAGCAGAGAAGTCCCCTCGAGGGGGTAGGCAGGGCTCACCTTGGCACTGGGCTCCTCTATGCTCTCCTTCACTGGGATGGGAACTCGCTCCAGCAACTTCTGAAGCTCGAGCTTCTCCTCCTGCAGAAAACCAGGGCAGCAGAGATGAGAATAGTCACAGAATCACAGAATGTTGTGAGTTGGAAGGACCCACAAGGATCATGGTGTCCAACTCCTGTCCCTGCACAGGACAATCCCATTGAGTGCCATATACAGTCTTTCCCATTGGCAGAGCCTCAAGAACCTTTTCCTCATGGCCAACCTCACCCTCACAGGACAAGCTCTGCACCTTCCCCTGCAGCATCAAGACCGATGCCCCATGGCTGTGTGACTCCATACCTCCCTCACGGTGATGTTCCTGAACTCTGAGGACAGCGAGAAGACCCGAAACAGCTCGATTTCACTCAGGGTGGGTTTCAGGAGCTGATTGTAAGTTTGCATCGTCTCGTTGGTGATGTAGTAGTGGCTGGCGATGCGGCCCAGCTCTGTCACCTGCCACAAGGACAACAGCAAGAGTGAAGCAGCAGAAAGCCACCCGAATGTTCAGGGCACAGACAGAAGATGCTGAACAGGAACCAGGTGGCAGCAGGGGGGACATCTCCAGACAAGCTGAGCAGAAACTCTCAGGATACAAATCACCCAGGCACGCTGCTTCACCTGGTAGACAATTCCATATACCACAGCCTGCCCTTTTCTCATCTCACTGCCTCTGAAGCAATGAAAACGCAACAGGAATGTGAATTTGCAGCAGCAAATGCACAGACTGAGGGGCAGGTTTTACACCAGCGCTCTCTATGCTGGCAAACAGCTCCCTGGCATCACAGCCGGGCACAGAATGACACAGCACACCCCAGGATCCGTATTTAATCAGCAAGCTGCCTCTTGCATCCTTTCTCTCAGCCAGAGGATGCTCTGCACGGTCACAGCACCTCTCCCAGGTCCTGTCTTACCTGGAAGTTCCCCGTCTTCTTGTCGTACTTCACCAGGTTGTTCTTGTCTAACATGAGGGCTGCAGTGTGAACCAGATCCAGGCGGCGCTGGTCCAGCAGCGGATCCCCCTTCAGATCATCGTGGGAGATCCCGTAGAGCGTGGGGGAGCGCAGCATTCGGATGTACAGGTAGGTATAGCCCAGCCAGTTCACTGCATCCTGAGGGAACACCAATGTGGGGTAAGAGGTGACAAACAAACCTCTTGGCAAGGAAAGGTGACGCTCCGGCTCGCAGCCCAGTGCTCCCAGCACTAGTGTAGGACAGGGCAGGCTGAGCCCAGCTGAATTGTGCTGGGTCAGTGTTAAACCAGAGTTTGGGAGCCCAGCAGTGCCACACACAACTCTCTGCAGTACCAGAAAAATAGTAAGGAATTTAAAAAAAAACAAAAAATCTGCAGTGGTTGCACTTGGCTGCAGCCAAACAGAGCCGCTCGCTCGCTCCCCCTGGCCCAGGGAACAGGGGAGAGAACTGGGGGGCAAAGGGTGAGGAGACTGGTAGGGTGAGAGAAGAACAATTTAATCATTGAAACAAAATAAAATAATAATGATATTAAAATAATAATAACAATAATTAAATATGCAAATGAGTGACACCCCGTGCCATCACTCACCACCCGCCCACCCAGCCCGGCCCGTTCCCAGATCACGATCCCGCAGGAGCCACAGTCCCGACCCGAAACCGCAATCCCGGGAGAGCCAGAGCCCGAGCCAAAGCCAGAGAGAGCCAGAGAGGAAGAGCCCCTCATGGATCTCCTGCCCATGGGGGACAGGAGATGGAACAGCCCCTTGGCAGAGCCCAATGCCCATGGAGCTGAGTCAGGTCAATATTCCTCGCCCTCCCCAGATCCAGCAAAACACGACGTCCTTTGACTTCCAGTGACAAATGCAACATGGGGATGTTCTCAGCGCTTCTCTCCTCACAAATCCCAGCTCAACCCAAACCCCAGCTGCTGAGAAGAAACCAGCTCTGTCCCAGCTCAAACCAGGACAAAACCCACTCTCCATATACAGACTTTTCCCCAGGGTCCTTCTCCATGTGGACAACTCTTATTTGAACTACAGAAGCATCTACCCACTTGCCTGACACACCAGACTGGTAGTTCTCATGGCTGCATCTCCAGATCTCTTCAAAACGTCCTCCCCAGGCACCAAAGGCTGCTAGTTTCTTGGCTCCCATAAAACCATGACATCTTTCCCCAACTCCAATCATCCCTTGGCCCCCTGCAATTCCCACCAGCTCTCTGGGCACAGAGAAAAGAGCACAAATCCGTGGGGAAAGCAAAGATTCACTCTCACCTTTGCGTTCTGGACGTTGCCGAGCACAGTCTCTGCATTCAGCATGTCTGGGAGCTTCGACACCATCTGACTTTCAATGGGGAGCTGCTGGTTGAGCAGGGACAGGTAATACTGCAGCTCGCCGTGGGATGTGATGAGGATCCCCTCTCCTTTCGTATCGTACTGAGGCCGCCCGGCACGCCCTAGCATCTAAAAAATGAGAAGGTGAGATCAGCCAAACAGAAAAGCTTTTCACTTGGCAGTTTCTCTGTGGTGGAGTGTCCTGGGGCTTTGCTGCCAGGCTGCTCAGTCTGCTGGTACTTCTAGCTGATGGGAGACACAGAAATATCTTAGATATGTCTGGGCAAGATACTGGGAGAGGAATCATTTGTTCTCTCTCCTACTGATCTGCTTCTCCTCTGCCCTCACAGCAGGGTAATTCCCAAAACAGCTGAGACAGTCTGGCAGTAGAGAACAGGGAGAGAGTGCACTGAGAAAATACAAAACAGAATCCCAGAATGGTGGGGTTGGAAGGGACCTTTGGAGATCATCCAGTCCAACCCCCCTGCCAAAGCAGGTTCACTCAGAGCAGAACTGAAAAAGGCTCCAGGGAGACCTCACTGCAGCCTTCCAGTACCTGAAGGGAGCTTAGAAACAGGAGGGAGAACGACTTATTCCATGGGCAGAGAGTGAAAGGACAAGGGGAAATGGTTTTAAACTAAGAGAGGGGAGATTTAGGTTGGATATTAGGAGGAATTTTTTCACCCAGAGGGTGGTGAGGCACTGGCGCACGTTGCACAGAGAAGCTGTGGCTGCCCCATCCCTAGATGCACTCAAGGCCAGGTTGGATGAAGCCCTGGGCACCCTGATCTAATGGTTGGCCACCCTGTCCACAGCAGAGGGGTTGGAACTGGATGATCTTTAAGGTCCTTTCCAACCCAAACCAGTCTGGGATTCTATGATTCTATGAAATGTGCCTTAGTGGGAAAGGAAAAATATTGTCCTGGATCCTGGCAGCATCTTTGTCACCAGAACTTCACCTGCAGGATGTCCAGAGCACCCAGCTCGGTCCAGCGTCCCTTCTCAGGGCTGTACACCTGTGTCCCCTTGATGATGACAGTGTGAGCAGGGAGGTTCACACCCCAGGCCAGTGTGGCTGTGGAGACCAGCACCTGCAGGGGCAAAACATTGATCAAAGCCAGGCAGAACCCTCCTCCTGAGGAAAAAAAAAGGATCTAAAATGACATTAGAGACACGCACAAATGGGACAAAGACTGAGAACTGTCACTGTCTCAACAGCTCAGCACAGGAAGGTCAGATAAACAACAAGATCTTTGCCCAAATTTCCCAATTCCCTGCATGACCCTGAGAAAATCTTGTGCCTTCTGTTTGTAACACAGCCAGGAAATTGCTTCGATGAGGTTTTGCTGAAGTGGTAACAGTGAAGGAGACAGCCAGCCTGCTCTGGGACAGACCTCTAGCTTTAAACACTCAGCTACACCTTGGGAAGAAGTTTGTGGTCTCTCTGCTCCTGGCCATGTGCTTTCAGTTTCTATTCTTTACCCAAAAATCAGGGCTGCCTTCATCAGGCACCAGCCTCAGTAGAGCAGGATGGGGTTGGCTACACTTGATCCTCTTGATTTTGCCCCAAGGGCTATTGGAAAACGTGGCTCAAGTGTTTCTTGTGAAATATGAACCCCAAACAAACATGTGCAGCTCCTCCTGGGAAGCCAAGCTCACCTGAATGTGCTTGTCAGCAAACAGATCCTCCACCAGCGTCCGGTCCACCCGCGTCATCCCGGCGTGGTGAATGGCGAAGCCGTAAGGAAGGAGATCCTTCAGCTCCAGGTTCTGCAGCAGAAACACAACCAGTTCTGAGTTTTCTACCTGAGCTGAGTAACACCAGGGGGAAAAGAAGCAAGAGAAGGTAGCACAGATCCTAGAGGAAAGGCTGGGAAAAAACTGGCAGTGTGGTTGTAGCTGTGCTCCTCCTGCTCCTGCTGTGGCAGAACAGCCCCGGCCGGGCAGTTACCTTGCACTGCTCAGCTTCAGTCCTCAGGACCTCAGTGGAGGCTGAGCCCTCCCGTAAGAAGAGGCCCAGGGTATCTTTCTCCAGACACATGTCCCTGATAGCCCGGGCTGTCTTCCCAGTCTCCTTCCTGGAGTGAACAAACACCAGCACCTGGTAAACAAGCAGATGGTTTCATTGATGAGAGAGAAATGGCTACGGCTGCAGCTGGCAAAGGTGCTTAACCCAACCTGCTCCCAGTCTTCAGGGAGATCTAGAATTAGCTCAGGTGCCCTGTGACCCACACACAGAGCTCCTGATCTAATACAGCAGCGTCACAAAAACTCCCTCAGCCTAAAAGCACAGGTCATACATTCACCAGACAGCTGGCACAGAGAGGAAACCTCTGTTTCCTCCTCTCAGCCTCCACCACCCAAACCTCCCCTCTTCTCCACTGCAGCGTTTATACATTGACAGCAACTCAAAAGTCTCACCAGCAACGGACAAGAACCAGGGTTAAAGTGAGTCAGGAACAATAAAATCAAATATCAAACCTGGTTCTTTCCAGCATGCTCCATAATTTTCTCATAAACAATCTCATTCATTATCTGGAAGCGTTTGATTGCTTTCTTCTCTGTAATACCCACGTAGGTCTGTTCTAGGGGCACCGGTCGGAAACTGTAAGGGAAAAAAAAAAGTCCATAAAAGAGCAGAAGAATGAAGAAACCCTGATACGAAGGTCATGTCAAAAAGCATGGAGAAGAGGAGACTGAGGGGTGACCTCATTAATGTTTATCAATATGGAAAGGGTGAATGTCAGGAGGATGGAGCCAGGCTCTTCTCAGTGATGCCCAATGGTAGGACAAGGGGCAGTGGGTGTGAGCTGGAACACAGGAGGTTCTGCTTCAACTGGAGAAGAAACTTCTTTCCAGTGAGGGTGCCAGAGCCCTGGGACAGGCTGCCCAGGGAGGGTGTGGAGTCTCCTTCTCTGGAGACATTCAAAACCCGCCTGGACGCCTTCCTGTGTGATCTCATTGAGGTTCCTGCTCTGGCAGGGGGGTTGGACTGGATGATCTTTGGAGGTCCCTTCCAATCCCTGACATTCTGTGTGATTCTGTGATCCTGTACTTCACGCTACCAAGATCAATGTGCTTCCTTTGTGCCTCAATTTACACAAGAGATGTGATGGCTCCAGTTCTGCCTGGTTAGATTAAAAAGCAGGAGACAGCACCATGTATTCCTGTCTCCTGGAATCCATTTGCTACAGACACACTCAGGGAGCAAAAACGCTGTTTCAGGAACTCCCATAATCCTATGTTAAGCTTCTTTCAAACAGCTCCTGCAGCTCACAGGTAGAGCAGACTTTATCTGCTTTCTCTAAAGCACCATCTCGCAAGGAGGATGAGGCAGGAACTCTGGCACGTATTTTTGAGGCTGTATTTAACTGCTCTAGTCCTGAACATGCATTTAGTGGCACATCTAAGAGCAAATAAATACACGTTAAGAGTAGGTTGAAGGTTTGGAGAGACCCTGGCACCATCTAGCAGGTAAAGACTCAGCTGGGAGACAGGTCTCTCCCAGCTCTCAACAACGACCCACCATCTGACTGTAAAGATCTCTCTCAGTTTTCCACCATACCTGTTATCAAAATAGAACAAGCCTTTGGCCGGGTCCACTCTCAGGAAGGTAGCCACGTCCTCATAATTGGGGAGAGTGGCGCTCAAACCAACGAGCCTCACGTCCTCCTGAGTCATCTCGATGTTGCGGATGGCTCTGGCTACCAAAGACTCCAGGACAGGTCCTCGGTCGTCATGCAGTAGGTGTATCTCATCCTAACGAGAGGAAACAGGAACTGAGTTATCCCTGCCCCAAACCAGCTCTATTTACCCATTTTTGGTTTAGTTTCTTCACCAAAACACTCGCACGGACTGAGGCACGTTCATCCCACAGCTCTAAGCTTGAGTCTCTCCACAACCAAGCACCAAAAACATCTTCCAACACTAACACACGCTCAGGAACTGCGACATTGAAAGACCCCAGAGCTCCTCATCATCATCCCCCTCCTCCACGCCAGGGCTTTGCTCACCAGGATGACCAGCCGCACCAGCTGGGTATAGGTGCGTTCTCCTCCCTTGCGGGTGATGATGTCCCACTTCTCCGGGGTGCAGACGATGATCTGGGTAGCGCTGATTTCCTCCTTGCAGAGCTGGTGATCCCCCGTCAGCTCGGCCACGTTGATGCCGTAAGTCGCCAGGCGCTAGGAGGAAACCACGGGCGGTTACACGGGATAAAAGCACGTTCCCTGGGGCAGCGTTGGAGCAGCGCAGCCCAGAGGCACCTGCAGACAGTTTCATGCTTTTCCCACTACAGCACTGGAAGAAAGAGGAGGATTTCAGAGCCCACACTGACATCCACAGCCCGAATCGACACACTCAGAGCCCAGCGAGTGCAGACGACAGGAACGAAGATTAAACAGAATCACAGAATGGGAGTGGGTGGAAAAGCCCTTGAAGCTCAT